CTCCTGGGTTCCTGGGTCCCAGCACAGTGCCCCTTCCCTAGCCCACAGGGGAAAGCCAAAGGAGTCTGGCTGGTGATTGAGGTCTGTGTGCCAGGCTGAAGTGAGACACCAGGCTGGTGCATGCCCAGGGCTGGAGAATGTTGAGGCTCTGGGGCACACTGCTGAAACCAAGCAACCCATAGATGGGAGATGGTGTCTCAACAGTGTATAACTCAGAGCGGGGTGGATGAGGCCAGGAAAAGGCACCTCTGTGACGTTATTGACATAATCTGGGACCATATAGAACATGGTTGCAACTAAAGTCCTGTAGTGGCACCAAATCTTGTATAAAGGGGGTCAAATGAGGTGTCTAAGACAAGGTTATGGTTTGCTAGTTATGATTATGCTGTCTATATGTGTGTATCAATCTTGTAGTTAAAGTTATGAATATTGGCTCTATACTGTCTGTATTTCAAACTTATGCTATGCTTCTGGGAAACATCCCAGACAAGTTGGTGTTAGCTCTGCCTAGCCTGCTTGATGGCCCATTAAGGACCATCAGCTATACAACTGACCCATTGAGAGAAGGCAAATACGCCTTGTAACTCAGCAAAGTATGCAGGGACTGGCCCATGTGACTCCATTTTGCTGTAATTTTCCACAGTAAGAACAAAAAGGTGTTCTTACACCTGGAAAAGACTATAAAAAGCTGATGCCTTATTTCCATCTGGTCTTCAATCCTGCTTCTTACCTCTGGAGGGACTTTGCTACAAACAGAAGCTCTACACAAAGGACTGATGACCCAAATCAAGTCTCTGGGATGTATTCCAGAGACTTGATCTGAACCTGCAGTTTATTCTATCACTGATACAAGCCTGAACCAAGAACTTTGCCATTACTTTATGTAATTGATTCAATTTAACCGATTCTAACTCTCATCTATATCTTTTTCCTTTTATGAATAAACCTTTAGATTTTAGATTCTAAAGGATTGGCAACAGCGTGATTTGTGGGTAAGATCTGATTTGTATATTGACCTGGGTCTGGGGCTTGGTCCTATGGGATCAGGAGAACCTTTTTTCTTTTAATGGGGTATTGGTTTTCATAACCATTCATCCCCATAACGAGAGATACTGGTGTTGATACTGGGAAACTGGAGTGTCTAAGGGAATCGCTTGTGTGACTTGTGGTTAGCCAGTGGGGTGAGACCAAAGTCCTCTTTGTCTGGCTGGTTTGGTTTGCCTTAGAGGTGGAAAAACCCCAGCCTTGGGCTGTAACTGCCCTGTTTAAGCAATTTGTCCTGAATTGGCACTCTCAGTTGGGTCCCGCCAGAACCAGCATCGTTACAACCTCCTTGACCCCAGGACCATTCCTTGGCCAGAGCTCAAGTCCTGCTACAGCTCAGGGGCGTGCAAGTGCTCTTGAAAGAAACCATCCCAAGAATTTTTATATTGGAAAGCATTAGCCAGCCTTAATACAGGGCTCTCTGCTTCTCCGCACATAGTGCTATACAGCACCTCTCTTCCTCACAACAGGGCAAAGGAGCTCCTGGCTCAGCCCATGTGTGCGGGCATACGTGGGCACTCCAGCAGTAACTGGCATTTCCATAGAGGATGCCGTCTGCTAATCACTGCCAGAGTCATGCTGCAATCTCAGACATGTTCTTAAGTACAGACAGTATCAGCTGCTGGATCTGTTACCATCTCACTCATGTAATGAGCTTTTTTTTAAGACGTTGGGCTGTAACTTAACAGCCCATGAACCTCCACACCCTTTTCTGCATGTTAGCTGTTAGCTCCCCACAGTCACCATTCAGCTTCGGTGTTGTTGCTGCCATGTTTGCATAAACAAATCCAGCATCATTCCTGGAACGGTTGAAGTGTATGGTTCTTGGCCTCTGTGTCCGACCTCTACAAGGAAGCATACAGCACAATCCCAGCTAAAAAGAAGCGGCTCTCAGTGAATCAGGAAGCGCCTATCAGCTCTGGGTAGATAACACAAATCTCAGGACAGCTGCCACCCTTTCTTAAATAAATCCAGCATTATTCCTGGAACAGTTGTGGATCTTGGCCTCTGTGTCCGACCTCTACAAGGAAGCATAGAGCACAATCCCAGCTAAAAGGAAGCGGCTGACAGTGAATCAGGCAGCGCCTATCAGCTCTGGGTTGATAACACAAATCTCAGGGCATTACAGCATGGAGAATGTGATATCATCATTGGTAAATGATCCGCTCCTAGCTACGGCTGCTGGAGAGGTGTCAATCATGATGTCACCATGTCTGTTCACAGCCTTTGATACCAGGAACTGTGAAACTGTCTTGACTCATCATGTAATCCCTGAGCTGCAGCTCCCCTGCCCAATAAAGATTTTTGCCATAAGCAATGTCCCCTGAATGTGCCAGATGTCAGATGCCCACAGCCTCAGGTAGGATGATACCCATTTTGCAGATAGGAAAGCTGAGTTTAAGTGACAAGAAGTAGAGGCATAGTGGGCTCATGACTTGGGTCCAGATCCTCCAAGGCATTTATGTGCCTAGTTCCCAGTGATTTCAGCGGAAGTGGGGAGCCTAAATACCTTTGATCTGGGCCTCAGAGACAGGGGACTAGATTCTGTTCTCCTCAGGCTTTCTACCACCTTGCAGCCTCTGAATTCTGGGTCTGCTGAGGGCCTTCTCAGACCCTGGTGCAATTAGAGCAGCCCCTGGGTTGACATTTAGTGGGACTTGTGCTCCTAACTCACTTAAGTGCTTTAGAAAATCCCATCTCACCTTTGCTTCAAAATGTGTCATTTGACACTTGCTGGGAGGCTGCTTTGAGGTGCTATTGAGGGAGTGGAAAAGACAGGAGAGCGCAGCCCATGTAGGAGTGATCAGCCCTGGGGCATGGCTGGAGTTGCTCGGAGGCTCAGATCCCACTGTGAATTGCCCCTGGGAGCTGGCCCAGCCAATCAGAAAAGGTCAGGAGCCTGCACGTTGCTACACTTCTCTTGTTTTTATTACAGTGTTCTTAGCATAAATACACAAACTCCAAAACTCACCCGGACATATCACAAATCACATGTGCACAGATGCTGAAGTGCAGCAGGGGATGTCGGATAAATAGAGGTCAGCCCAGCCGAGGGGAGCCAGCCACGAGACGATGGAGTCTGTGTGAGGTGACGCCTGCTCTCGGGACCAACTCAGTACAGAGAGTCGCCCAATCCCCTGAGCGGCTGCACACCGCAGCGCTGGCACTGCGCGCTGGGTCATAGCTCACTTGAGGTCAGGCCCAGGTTTAGCAAAGGGAGCCAGGCCGCTTCAAACACGCTGCTTTCCTTTTGTGCAGCCCTAGGACTGGCGCGTGTGCCTCCAGCTGGAGAGCCGCTCAGCACCTCACAGAATCGGGCCCTGTGAGAAGATTCTCTTAGGAAGCCAGTCCCCACAATGGCATGGCAGTCTGCGCAGTCCCATTCCCCACACCTGCATTCCTGCCCACCAGACATGCAGAGCCAGGGCACGGTCCCCCACCGCCTGCCCACTGTCAGACACTCAGGTGCTGCCATGTGACCACCTGCCTGTGGGCCCCACGCTCAGCCTTAGTGTCTCCTTTGTGGAGCTCACCTGCCTGTGGGCACTTACCCCACAAATCCTTTGCCCCAGCACATTCATGGAACCACTTGCCAGGGGCTTGGCTGACCACAGGGAGATTTACAGAGGACTCAGAGAGCTGGCCCCAGGGTGGTGACTCACAGCACCAGGGAGGTGACAGCAGGGTCTCTGGAAGCAGTAGGTGATGGTGAACCCAAGTGCTGCCTCCCCAGGGGGAACAGGGAGCTAGATCTCCAAGGGGCGAGGCCCCAGGTGTGGCCCCTAGGGTTTGAGAGCTACAGGAGGAACATGAGGGTGAGTTGGCCTAAGACAGATGACTTGCTGGCTCAGGTGCCAGCGAAGCCGTGGGACCTGGGGTGTGACTGGTACGTGGGACTGAATCCATGGCTTTAGGAGTCATTCAGCTTTGTACCCACCCAATGCATCTCTTTTTAAAGTGAAACCTCCCTAAGCCCTTGTTCCAGCAAGTGGATTAGGCCCATGGCTGTGCTATTAGCTACAGGCAGCATACAGCGCCTGCCCCATGTGGCTGCTGAAGCAGGCAAGGATACACAGTTTTTAAGGCCAGAATGGACCATTCAATCATCGAATGTAACCCTCCTGTATGGCACGGGCCAGAGAACTTCACCCCCGTTGCCCCTGTATTGAGCCCCATAACTTGTGTTATGGGCCTTTTGCCAGAGTGGGTGGGGGAGGTTCTGTGGTCTGTAACACGCAGGAGGCTGTGATGGTCCCTTCTGGCGCTAAAGGCTGTGAGGCCCAGAAAGATGCCAGCTGGAACCTGAAAACTTCCAGAGATGGAGAATCCACCCCTGCCTTGGGAGTTTGTGCCAGTCGTTATGCTCCCTCACTGTTAACAACTAGGGCCTTCTCTCCACTTTGAGTTTGGCTGGCTTTAACCTCCAGCCATTGGTTCTTGTGCTGCCTTTCGCTGCTAGATTAGAGCCCTTTACTTGGCAACGTTTGCTCCCCATGAAGGTACTTCTACCCCCTTGCTGTACCTAACCTGGTTGCTGGCAGTGCTTTAGTGCAATGCTCCCCTGCTGTCTTGTCGTGCCAATATTCCAGCTGCCCTCCCTAACAGAGAGAGGTATAGTGCTGACCAGCGGGACTGCACCAGGAGGCAGCTCATTATGCAATCTCCCCTCCTCCCCCCCCGCCCAGAGCTGCTCATTGAACATACTAAAAAGCTTCAATATTCTTCATATTGGGTTTGGCCTTTTCAGTCTGTTACGTAGAATACTGGATGCCAGTAGTACTTCAGTCCCGCCTGCAGGATCCGAGTGTCTCTCACATACTTATTATATGTGGGTGTCACAGCCCCTCCATGCGAGATTCCATTCCCCCTACTCGTGGGTTCAACATCTGTAGCCGGATGTGAGTCCAGTGGGAGAAGGGAGAGTTTTGACCTGACTCCAGAAAGGGTGTGGAAGTGCAAGCGGAAACGGCCCCTGGGAACCCATTTGAGCAGAGCAACTATGCAGCGCAACTCCGAGGCAGCATCTTCCCTTTCTCTGGAGATCGCTGGAGAGGAGATGAACTTGGAGGGTTCTCAGCCCAGCAGAGCGTGGCAAGGCGCTTGCTGATTTCTCAGGTGCCAGCAGGACGTGTGAGTTCGATCTCCGTGGAGAGCCGGAGAAGGATCTGGACTCCTTAGTGCTCTGCTTCCTTGTGCTTAGGGTCCAACTAGGGAGGGAGGAGGAGCTTCCTCTAGACCGCCTCAATGGTCAGTGCAAAGTTGTCATAAGGATTCTTTTTGCTTGCCCGGAAGTGGGGGTTGCCATACGCTTCCCCCAGCATCGCATCCCCTTCCTCTTCATCCTCGCTCAGATCAAAGAAGGCTTTCAGTGCCTGAGGTCGGAGGTGGTGCAGCGCAACCACTACCACCCCAATCAGGAAACACAGCAAGCCTGGAAGACACAAGCAACGCACACACACTCAGCAAACTCCCCAACTGTGCACCCTCCACACAAGAAGGGCCCCTTGGGAGCAGCATGTCCCTCCCGCAGGGCGACAGATTGCACCCAGCTACCAGCCTGGGACACATCCCAGCTTCCACCCAGCTGATGCCCCCTGTGTGTATTCTGACAGGCAAGTGGGAACGGCCTCCAAATGGGGAACTATCACATCACCTTCCGCCTCTCACTGCAGTGACGGCACCATGGGCTGCTGTGCTCTGCCCCGCTTTCAAATCCCATGCCACACCCTACAGCGCCATCAGCTGGACGTTTTGGGAACATACATAGACTGTGGGAATTCTTACCACTCCGGCTATTAAGCGCATACGAAACCCACAATCTACTGAAAAAGTCCCACAGTGGCCTGCCAGCCCACTCCGCCCCACCGCCAGGAGCGATGCTTTTCACTGTGCAAAGGAACTGGTACATTTTGTTGAGCATGAGGCCTGTTTCTCCAAACAGCACCGGAGACCAGGCTGACTGGGTGTTAGCGATTCAGAGCAGCTGCGGATACAACCTGCTCAGCAGAGCTGTCTGGAGAATGACAGGGTTTTTTGTGGAAAATTTGAATATTTTTTCCTTTTGATTTTTAAATTTCCTGTGATTTTTTTTAATTTAACAAAAAAAAGTAGTTTTTTAAAAAACTGTTTTCAGTTAAAAAAATGAGTTTTTAAAAATCCCATTTTTTTTCCAAATGCCAAAACTTTTTACCCCAATCTAATAATTTCTGCCAAAAACATTTTCAGAAATGTCAATCACAGTCAAACGTCCAATGAAAAAACACCAACTCCTGTGCTCCGTGGGAACACACGCATTGCATCAGCCCCAGGGGGAGCTGCAGAGCATGGAGCAACACAGCCAGGTTCATAGCTGATGGCTCTGACCCTCACGGGTTGGCTGTGAGGGACTTAGAACTGGACAAGAAGCAGCAGGTGCATGGGGAAAATCTGCCTCCTCCTCAGCCACCTGGTCTCTCCTGGAACCATGTACACACAAAGCAAGTGTGATGCCTACTTGTTGCAAGTGTGAGCCAGAAGGATGCCCCGTAGACAGTCTGCAAGGAGGCTGGACCGAACTGGATGGCGCACATGGGGGAGTTCCTGACCGTGGAGAAGGAGAGCAGCGAGAAGATCATGAAGGCCCCAGTGACCAGGATCATGTAGCCCCCGTAGACCAGGACTGGCATGGAGAACAGCATGTTGGAAATGAGCCAAGCACAAAATGCCACCCTGGTGGGAACAGAAAGGCCACAAAATGATGAGACCCACACACAGCCACTGGAACGGGCCACTGTCTTGGCCCCAAACTGACCGCTGGGCAAGCTCTGGCCTTGTAAACCCCTCGCTCCCTGAACGCTCACCTCCAGGCTGGTCTAGGAGCTCCAGGCTGTTCCTGGGCTTCCCCCAGGCACTGCCAGGACAATGTACTGGATGCCCCTCCCAGATTCCACGGGCCAAGACAGAGCGGCGGTACCCGTGGACAGAATGTGGCTCCTAATGTTGGACATGGCTGTTCCTTTGTATGGAGTGAGGCAGCTTTTCTCCGTAGTTCTGCAAAGGGCCAGGAGGTGCTGAAAGCCATGCCAGGGGCAGGCTAAGGGAAGAGGCAGACTGCAGCAAATTCAGCCCCCTGTGCCCAGAAGGGTGGGCTCCAACCCTCAACTCCAAGTCAAAGGAAGGTTCCAAGTCAGATTGGAAGGACCGTGTTTCCAGTCTCGCCCGTCTGTCCAGCCCCAGTGGAGTTCACCCGCAGTCTCTCTACCCACTCATGCTTCCTGGATGTAGGCAACAGGGGCCAAGATTTTCAAAAACAGGAGCCTAAAGTCAGACTCCTCCATCCATATTTAGGCACCTGCCTGATCCTCAGCAATGCTGAGCACTCTCTAGCCCCCCTGGACCTACACCTGTGACCCCCAGGGCCTGGTTTCTGCTACAGATTGACTTGGCTGCTGTATGGTTATTGTGAATGGGCTAACTTGTGTAGACCCCATTGCAGTGGGGGATGGGGGGAGGCAGGCACCGCTGCAGGCCATGTCTGCTCCTAGGGAATGGGAGTCCAGTCTGGCTTTCCAGAGGAGTCTCCCAGCACAGCAGGCTTTGCTAGCAAACCCATTTCACTTGGAGCAGGCCCAGGCCAAACCCAGGATGCACAGTCTGCTCCTCTCAGAAAGGGAGATCGTCCGGCTCCCTATGAAGAAGGAGGAGGCTCACCAGAGAGTTGCTGATGCGTAGTGGCCGGAGATCCTGTACTGGCTGTACACGCCGCAGGGGCTCTGCTGGCTGAACTTCTCTGCCACGTACAGGATGGGGCTGGGCAGCCCCTTCTCCAGGCCCTCGTTGTAGATTTGGTTGTAGTTTACTCCAAAGCGCCAGGCAAAGTGCTCGTTGTAGTTGATGGTTTCATTGATCTGATTCACTGGGTTCCCTGCAGGAAAGGGAAGCGTCTCATTAGCCTTGGGGCAGAACAGAGATTCCGCAGTGTGTGGGGATCCAGGGGGCCGAGCAGTAACGGAGGGGCCAGTTAGTTACCTGAAGGGCAGGGCTATTGCTGAGCTTACTGCCCCTTCATACCACCAGCCTGCCTTGGGGTAGTCACCCCAGAAAGATGAGAAGCCCCACTGTCTCCCCTTCCCAGCTCTTCCCAGGCTGACCAGTTCTGGTGGGTTGTGTGTCATGGATGTGGCCCAGAATCCAGAAGTCAGACAGTACTGACCGGGTGGTGAGCAACTGTGCTCTCCCCAACCAGAGACAGGCATGTTACAGGCAGTTCCCCCCCTTCCTCCCGCCCAGGATCTAGGTGGCCCAGCAAGCAGACTGGCACCCAGCATGCACTGGGAACCAGAGGAGATGTACGGGGCCCCTGCGGCTGGTAGTGGAGTTGGTGGCCTTACAACAAAGTGAGGGCCAACAGCTCATGCTACGATGTCCAAAGTCAGGGTTGGGGAGAGATCCCCACGTGCTGTGCACATGGGCCGCGTCTCACTGGCTGATGCATCCCAGCGTTGCACTCACCTACTAGCGTGACGTTGACTCCCCCCAAGCCGATGTGCAGGCCAACGTCGGCATTCACCATGGTGCGGCTGAAGGATTTGTAGGAGGTGTTTGCTGTCACCTGGCCAGTCTCCCAGTCCCCGGTGAACTGCACAGCTGGGAGGGGAGAGGAATCGTGGGTGGAATTAGTCAGGGGCTGGCACCAGGCGCTGCTGCCCTCATGATCACCAACTGTGGGCAGAGTCTGGGTTTGTAGGGATTTCAACTAACCCATGGACTCTGTGCAGTCATCTGTTCAAAGACAGAGGCCAGCAAAGCTCCAAAAGGCCCTGACTGGCTTCTCACTACTGAAATAAGCTCTTTAGGCTCACACCTAGCCCTGTCTGGGATCCCTCCAGGCAGAATTGCCCGGCCCTGTGGCAAATTGAAGCAGAGAGGAGCCTTCACATCTTGGATCCAAAGGGTCACCTTGACTAGGGCATGTTCCAGCAGGACCTGGGAAGCCACTCACTGGCAGTGGTGCAAAGCAGTGGATGTGTGGCCTAGTGGATAGAGCACAGACGTAGGGTGCTGAGCTGCCCTGTGCTGCCCCCCTTGGTTGCTGAGCTGCCCCCTTTTAAAACAAACCATTTATTCATCCTTGAACCTTTCAGATTTTCAAAGCTCTAAAGATGGAGCCTGCACAGCCTCCCTGTCTCAGGCAGGTTCAGTCCATAGGGCCAGAATGCTCCCCCCCCCTCCCCCCAGGGGGAGACGCTCGGAGGTCTGGGAGTCTATGTGTGAAGAAGGAGTGGGGCAGAGGGGATGCATCAAATTGTCCCCCCTCCAGCCCATGGTGCATGTCTAGTTCATGCAACCTAAGGCTACATCTACACTACAGGGGGGAGTCGATTTAAGATACGCAAATTCAGCTACGTGAATAGCGTAGCTGAATTCGACGTATCACAGCCGACTTACCCCGTTGTGAAGACGGCGGCAAAATCGACTTCTGCGGCTTTTTGTCGGCGGCGCTTACTACCACCTCCCCTGGTGGAGTTAGAGCGCCGATTCGGGGATCGATTGTCGCGTCCCGATGGGACGCGATAAATTGATCCCCGAGAGGTCGATTTCTACCCGCCGATTCAGGCGGGTAGTATAGACCAGACCTTAGACCCCTGGAGAACAGGCCTAGAAGGGGGCAGTGGTGGGGCTGGCACAGACCCTAGAGTTCTCAGCACCCCAGCTCCAATGACACTGCACTGCCAGGGAATGGGGGAGCCAGAGCTGGGGTGGCCTGCAACAGGGGGCCTTCAGCAGCCGCCTGAGATCCATGCAAGGCTCAGGGGCTGAACCTCCTGCTTCTGCTATGGAGGCACAAAGCCAGACCTGTTCCTTTCACCCAGGGGGAGAATTCAGAGGAAATGCCCCAAGGGCAAACTCTGAGATCTTGCTGTAGACACACTGCAGTCCAGAAGGACTGGGGGCTTGCAAAATGGTATGATCCCTGAGTACTCAGGACCCCCCCCTCCCCCAGTACTTGCTGGGGGGGGGGGTGTCACAGAGCCAGAGTATCTATCTATTGAATCCAAACTGGGCTTCCGGGTGGTGCCAGACAGAGAAATTCTTGGCTTCAGCTCTGAAAACGATTCATTATTCTTGTGTGCCCAAGCAGCACATGTGGTGGCTCTCAAGTGCCTCAGGGAGGGTGGACTCACTCCCCGAGAAGGGCGTGGGGGCTGTGCCCGCTGCCTCTTGCCCCTTCTCTGAGAGCCAGTCTTCTGCATTTCCTCAGAGTGTTCCCGTGTCACTTGGACTCAGGGAGCAGCCTGTAAAAATGGCAGGGACTGATCCTTAGGGCTATCGGGTGCTGCCAGTTGTAACAACACTCAGCATCTCTCCAGCAGCTGCCTTCTAAGGGTCCCAGTGTGCTTTACAAACAGGGATTCAGCCACACTCAGCACCCCTGAGAGAGGGGCAAATACGATAGTGTGTGCATGTATGTGTGCATGCACCACTGCCCTCTACTGGCTGGCACCAGAACTGTTCAGCTGTGCATCAGAGGCCTCCCTCCTGCTTACAGCCATTCTCCTGTAGATTACATAAGGGAATGTGTTTTGGCACAGGGGGATTTGATTTCTATTCCCTGAGAAGCTCCAAGCGGCCACAGAGAGCAGAATAGTGACAGTCACAGCATTCCTAGGTGGCCATGTATTTATTAAAATACTGTCAAGCCCATTATAGAGATGCGGAAACTGAGGCCCAGACAGGTTAAGTGACTTGTCCAGGTCACAAAGGAAGATTGAGTCAGAGTTGGGAATAGAACCCAGATCTCCTGTGCTCTAACCACTAGCCCATGCTTCCTGTGCACACACCCAAAGCCTCCCTACCAGGAAGTGCCCCTGCTCTGGGAATACAGCCCCAGGTGTCACTGGCTAGTTCGAGGGATCACTTACCAACAATCACCGCCCCAATGAAAAGGCTCAGGATAACCCGGAGTAGCCAATACAGCCTCTGTGAGGAGAGAGATGGAAGGGGGGGTCAGGTAAAAGGAGTGGCCCAACAGGTCCTCAGTTCTCTGAGTCAGTGAATGTAACAAAACCACTTAAAAGGCGCAAAGCTAGTATGAGACTAAGTTCTCTGGGACAGGGACAGAGGCTCTGCACATGTTGGTGCAGCACCTCGCACCAATCCTGATCAGGGCTTCTAGGCTCTGCTGTGAGGGGGGAGAGGGCAGGACTTAAGTAGCAGGAGGTGCAGCCTATCAGAGGGGAGGGGCAAATACAGAGGTGGGGGAAGCCCAGGATTGGACTAGCAGGGGGCTGTGGGGCAGGGCTGTAGTGCCCTGGCAGAGCAGGGGGCAGGGCTATAGTGCAAGACTAGCAGGGGGCTGTGGGGCAGGGCTGGGGTGCCCTGGCAGAGCA